CATACCTGCATCCATGATATTTTGAATGCTAATGCCATAATATTCTAAAATGGTAGAAACAAAAAAAATTGATTTAATTTTCCCTTGAATAAAGAGCATGGTTGAAAATGAAGTTATAGCTCCCTGCGAATGAGAATGCCTTGGTCAGTCTTTTAAGGGTAAGCGAATGTCGTGAGTAATCTTTAGAAGAACACAATTTCTGAGCATGCATCAAAAACAATTGGCTGGAGTGTCGTTATTTGTCTTGGACTATCGTTTCATTCTATTGCACGGCTATGTCTCCTTGATTTTTCAGGAGATTAAATTGTTCCGTACAAATCTTTCACTTTTGTGCAATTTCGACTGGGTTCCTGTGCCAATCGCATATCCACAGGTACGTCTTGTTTAAATTGCGAAACAATCCTATTTTTAAATATCTTTAGGTTGTCTTTCTCGCTGTTCGTGTATATTTCTCCATATGTCTCATTTCGCGTCAATTCATATTGGGAGAGAATGCTTCAAACAAAAGCGTGGTACGTTCATTACTACTAGAGTTCAGTTGAGTTTTAGTAAAATATTAGTTATTTTACCAGATTGACCTCTATGTGCCGTTTATGACAATTCTCCAGTTCATTTTCTTTGTCGGCTGGATGAAGGTAAGTACTTGAATTTTTAAGCAAACAACAAAACCAATTTCAATCACCTTCAGGTGGCCGAAGCACTTCTCAACCCACTTGGTGAAGATGATGATGATTTTGAATGCAACTTTCTAATTGATAAGAATATCGCTGTAAGTAAACGTACATCTTTCGAACGCAGGGAACAGTTAATCGTTTCGAATTTGAGACCGGCTTGTCGATTGTGGACGAAACCTACGACTACTGTCCACCTCTCTTTCCCGATCGTTTCATGGATCCTAACTACGTACCTGTCTATTCTGAAGATAGCCAAAAGAATGGTCATGACAATGTGCTTGTGGGATCGGCCGAAGGAATTAAGTAAGTTTTGCAGCTATTTTCGTGGCCTTGTTGATTTTTGAACAATTTTGATTATAACAAGTTCAGAATTTATTACTGAAAAAGTTTTTGCGATAGGTGAAGCAACTACGCAAAATACCTTAAATTTCTAAAAGACTTATAGACTGGACTTTATGCTTGTGTGCTTATCTCATGCTTTTACAGATTAGCTGATTCCAACGAGAACGTGAAGATGGTCTCTGTCAGCATAAGAGGATCACAAAACGACATTCGCGGTAAGTGCATAGTACTGAACGAGCATTACCTCTTGCGATTATTGCTTAGGTTGGTTGATTGCAACTAGAAAATGATGAGAAATAGAAGTTTTGGAGAGATCCATATGCGCCCACACGCAACTGAAATGTCGCAGTCACGTCTTCTGAATTTCAACAGCTCAGATTTTCACCTTTCTCCCGATAGTTCCAAATTTTTCAATATCACAGCTTGTTTTGCGATAGAATGAATGACGGGATTTACCTTAAAATGTGCAATAATGTTATACTATCGCGGTGCCATGCAGTTGTTTGCAGACTCATAGTGTAATTCTGTATTACCACTTGCCCCTTCGAACGAGCGAATCATAGTTTGTTAGAATGAATAAAAGACCTCTCTGGCAAAGGAAAAAGTGAGAAAGAAAGCCCATTTTTGCAATGCCAATTATTAGCTCAGCACTGATGTCTTAATGAAAATTAAATTACAATAAAATCAAATTACAGTAAAAGTTGAATGTCTAGCCAATTGACTGAAAGTCGTGAGTTGATTCCAATATATGTCTCGTCCAAAGGAATGAATGTACTCTGTTCTTGGTATGCATCCGCCTAGAAAACATCACCTTTCATCACTCTCTTTCACAGAATCTCAATTGCAGGAAACATTAAACCGAACATGTTTCGAGAAAAACCATTTTCATAGCTCATCTCCTGGAGCGGATCACACTCATCCCTCTACTCGTCCTTAATCATCGTTTTTCTTCCATTTATTTTGTCATTGAAAAACAGCAGGCTTATAAAAAAGAAGGAGGAGCACATTATGGAAGATTTAGTAACAAAGAAGAAGATTTCAATCACAGACATTGCATACAAATATGGAATTTTGTTAGTCATACTTCCTAACTATCTTTCTGCCAAACTAAATTTATTATCGGTGAGGAACGTTCTTAGTTCAGAGTAGTATTGCAAGATATTATTTGTCTGCAGCTAACAATGGAGTCAAATACACCTTGCAAATTATTGAAATAAAGTTCCCCTCATTTTTTCCTAAAGTATGCTAGGATTCAACAAACTACATGATATGAGAAAATAGATTCATTACCACAACTTTCATTTGTCGACAGAGCATGAGCGCTTCAATTTCAGAAACTGCTAGCGAACCGCGTTCCCGAACGACCGGAATGAGAAGGAAACTTAGCCGTGCGCTACGTCTCTCACAGTAAGTACTAAGTATTACGAAGCGATAACCAACCCTCGGAAGCCGATTAATCTACTGTGGCCATTTTCAGGCCAAGATCCTATTCCGTGCAACCAGTACGACTTGGTCCTGCAAAACCAGTCGTTGCTAACACGACACCCAGCAGATTCTTCACTCCTTTTGAGCTATCAAACGGTATGTTATCAGCTTGTCTTAGTCAGTTTCAAAAAGCATTTTTATGCAGGTTTTGAGCCATCAAAAACCATTCCGCCCGAAACACCACTAGATAGGGTGGAAGAAGAAGATACGATACATTCTGGTCAATTCCCTGCACATATGGGTAGTGTGCGAAGCGCTGTTGAAAGCATAAATGAAACTGAGGTAAGAATGAACCCTCGAGTTAACGCGTGGCACATTTGACATCCTTCACAAATCAAGTCTTTTTAGATACCCGATATTATTAAGAAGGAACTCGAAGGCTCGAATGGGAGAGAAGTCGAAAATGGAAAGGATAAATGATACTTAATAACAAGGATTAGAATAAATCAGGTTATTTCCTTTTTAGAAATTACGTAACTGATATAATGTGCTTGAAAAAACCAAATTTTCTGCCTTTTTAGATGATAGTAACAAAGAGATTTTGTAACATTATTCTCCGTAAATGTATATCAACTTAACACCTCTATTTATTTCCAGAAAATTGTACGAATCTAAGAAAAAGTCGCTAAACGGGTTTTTCAGATGATGATAGATAGAAGATAGGATGCCCAACAACATCATTGGTGATCACGTAGTCTCTCGTCTTGAAAACCTTAGCTTATTTGAAGCA